AAGCCCCGTTTGTACGCGGGGATAAGCAGCGCACGAGCTTCTGCTGCTTCGTCCGCGGGGAGTTTCGATAGGTAGTTGGATGGGCTAGCGAGGAAGGATTGTTTCTGCGATGTGGTTAGGTGCAGGGTGTTGATGGTGGTGGAGAGGAGATTGTTTCTAGTACGTTTTGTTAGTGGTGCTTCTGGTGGATGAATCGGGGGTTTATACGTACATGATTGTGCCGGATATGGCGAGGCCGAGGGTGCCGCCTAGGTTGCGGATGAAGCTGTTTTTTGGGGAGGGAGAGGTGTTAGTGCGTGATGGATTATGGGGTTTAAGAGGGAGGCTTGGATGGGGCTGGGATGGATGTACTTTCGGAATGAGGTTACGATGGCCATGTCTCGTCTGGCGACGCCGGCTTGGACGGCGATTAGGGCACTGCAGTAGGTCAGGTTGGTATTGTGAGTTGTCATGGGGTATGTATGATGGGTGGAAGGGCTCACGGCTGTAATGTGTTTCCTGAACCTATACCTGTCAATAGGCCGTAGCCTATCTGTTTCCCTAGATTGGATGTCTCGTTTAGGGTCGACATCAGGCCTAGTCCGATGGCCCAGATTATCCAGCCGATGAGGATGGATTCGCGATATCGGCCCACCCAGTGGACGACTAGGCCGGAGAGAGTGCTGCTTAGAGCTGGTGCAGTTTGGGTTTAGTGTGAGCATGGGATTGGGAAGTAAGAGGGGTGGTAGATGGGGCGAGGCAACGTACTCTGTAACAATGTGATGGGTAAAACCATTGCACCAGCCTTGGTAGTCGAGTAATTGAACACAAGCTGATAGAAGGTCGGGATGTAGTACAGCATGACTATGATGTTCCACCCGTTGATGAACATAGTCAGACATGCTCCATTCACAATGCGCGATTTGAATATATGCATGGGTATCAGCGGATACGGATGCCCCTTCCATTCCCATAGGACGAACGCCACACAGACAGCAAACCCCACGACGAGCGTCGCTATAACGTGTGCCGATTTCCAGACATACTCGCCACCGCCCCATGTCAATCCGAGCACTAGCACTGCCGTGCCTCCTAGAGCGAGAAAGACGCCAAAGAAATCGACGGCTTTCAGCTTCGCTTTCCAGTCCCCGGTGACTTTCCGCAAAGGCATGAAGAACATCACTGCAAGAATTGAAATAGCCGTGAGCGGCAGCATAAGCCGGAAGATCCATCTCCACGAGTTGTGGGAGATCGGGGATAGAGCACCCCCGATCACAGGGCCGATGCCGTTGGCGATGGCTATTACGGCGCCGAGGATGCCTTGATATTTACCTCGCTCGCGGAGTGGTACGACGTCACTGACTATCATCTGTGCGATGGACGTGATCCCGCCGCCGCCGATGCCGGTGAATGCGCGGAAGATAATTAGCTGCGTGGCGGTCTGTGCTAGAGATGATGCTAGCGAACCGAAGAACATGATGGCGAGGCCTACGTATAGGACGTATTTTCGCGACCAGATGTCAGAAAGTCGCCCGTATAGAAGTTGGAAGCAGGTTGATGTTCTACATTGAGTTAGTGACTTAGAGAGAGTCATGTCTGGCTTCTGGGCTGGACGTACAGGAAATATCCTCCTGATATCCACGAGGTTTTATTGCTGGCGTCCAATGTATTGCCGATTATGGATAAACTCCCGGCTAGAGTGGTCTGGTCCATGACCGCTACTAGGTCAACTGTCGAGCATGCTAGGAATATCTGCGGCAAGTTAGATAGATCGTTGATAGTCGAGCGTCCATGTGATGGAAGATACCGTGATGATAGTGCTCAATGGCACATAGTTCGTCTGCTCGTTAAAGCAGGGCGGTGATGCCGCTGGTCTGCTCTCGTCGCCGCTAGACTCGGTGGCAATATCTCGAGAGACACTTGATGGATTATCATGCTTGACTTCATCCTTAATTGAAGTCGTAGGCATTTTATCTCGCTGAGGTCAATGTCCTGAGACGAGGGCGCGAGCCTATCCAGGAGTAACGAAAGGGTCAGTTGACAAGACTGAGCCTAGTTATCGCTGTAAGGCGCTATAGGCTTCCAAGCGAGGATTTGTAATAAAACAACTAAGACCGTGAAGTAAAATTGACTCAAGGAGGAGGGCTAACTCGGCAGCGACAATATTACGGCGCAAAGAGGTACATGCAGTGGACGGCTCCTTGCGTGTCAGGGCCACCTCCTCGCCGGTTAGGGCTAAAAGGGAAAGGATCGACTAAATCAAGGCAAATGCCCTCGTGCTTTCGTATAAGGTTGCAGCTACTATGCCGTTGTGACTTGTGGATCTTTTGAGGTACCCCCCCTTCTAGACATGGTGCTATTACATATGACAACCTTGGAATGTTGGGTTCCGTCATCAGAGGATAGGCCGCGGAGCGTAAAGAACCCAGTATAGCGAAGTCGAGTTCAACGACCTTGAGTCCGGAGCTGTTTTCAGAGTAACTTCGATTACTTGAACAAGAGTCATACGTAGAACGTCAATCTGAGCACATTTGCGCCAGTCTTCGACGAATAGGAGTTCCACCCAACCCACTCCCTTGAATAAGTGCTCAACGTGAGACACGGACCTTCCTGAAGCGGCCCTGAGATGTGCATAAAACCAAGCTCAGTGGGACGCTAGCGATGCGCCGAATGCGAAGATCACGCCGGAAAGAGCGCATCTCGCGCGTGGGAGGGTGACTGCATGTTTCTGTAGCAGGGCCGTATAATTTGATGCTCCCGTCCCTGGGTGATTGTTGGCTCAATATTGCGGTCAACACTCCCGTCAATACTGATAGTCTGACATAATGGCCAACATTAACGAGCATAATGTATACTTTGGACCGGATGCGCTCAAGAAGTACTTTGATCCGGATTGCCAGCCTCCGTTACCTCTGGTGGAGCTGCCCGATCGATTGAACCCGTTCCACCAAGATGGGGTACGGATCTATGCCAAAATGATGACAATGCACCCGGCGAACAACGTGAAAGCCATACCAGGTATGTTGGCCCTCAAGAGTTCCCTTGTGCCTGGCCCTGGCACTGACGGAACAAGCGATGAACCTGCTCGAGAAAACCGTGGTGCCTGGCAAGACCAAGACAATCGTGGAATTCAGCTCAGGTTCCACAGTCATCTCGATGTCTATGCTCGCTCGATTGATGCATGGTATTAGCGACACCAGGGCTTTCCTGAGTAACAAATCCACCGAGACTAAGTTACGGATGATGCAGTTCTTCGGGCTGGATGTCACCCTGTTCGGTGGCCCATCTCAACCTGACCCGTTAGATGAACGCGGGGGCATCCAGACTGCTCGGGCGATGGCCATGGGGTCTGAAGAGATTGTTAACCCCAACCAGTATGACAATGACGACAACTGGCATGCACATATCCGCTGGACTGGCCCTCAGATATTCAAGCAATTACCAGAGATCAACGTACTCTGTGCCGGGATGGGGACCTCGGGGACGATGACAGGATTAGGGACCTACTTCAAAGAAATCAAGCCATCTGTGCTTCGGCTTGGAGTGTGCACTGCACCCGGGGACCGGGTTCCAGGACCACGGACATTTGCCCTGATGCAGGTACAGGAGTTTCCCTGGAGGGAAGCGCTGGACGTGCACGAAGAAGTCAGTTCATATGACGCGTTCTCGTCATCCTTGGACTTGTGTCGCGAAGGGGTCGTCTGTGGGCCGTCATCCGGTTTGAGTCTGAAGGGACTTTATCAGATGCTGGAGAAACGCAAGAGGGCTGGCACCTTGCGACAATTAGCGGGACCAGATGGTTCGATCCACTGTGTCTTCTTATGCTTCGATCTGCCATATCAATACGTTGGCGACTATTTCGAGAAACTAGGGCCCGAGAGGTTTCCTCCAATTCGCAATCAGGTGGGTCGGCGAGCTACGTATATTGAATTGAGGAGCTCGGGTATGCTGACTGTTGTTCTTGTAGAACCTCGTTGGTGTTGATCTCTACCGGTATGATGAGAGCTGGGAAAGAAGTCCTGTAGTTCTGTTCACCGACTATTACGAAATACCCCAGTGCTTTTCAACCCACCCCTTGAGCGCCATGGTGCTCCGGCCTCTGCACTGCGTGTTGGATTTGAGGACCGCGGGAGACTTTGGCACTTGGCACCTCCCGGGATCAGTAAACATTCCCCTGCACAGTCTCGACTCTCATACAGCCAAGCCATTCAGCGACGCAGACGTACTGGAGGCACAGTGGCTGGAGTTGGAAGCGTTATTCAGCAATGCAGATGTGCTTGGCAAGTTGAGTGGCCATCAGGTGCTAATGCTCTGCTACCATGGGGATACCGCGCGGGTAGCCAGTAGTGTATTGCGGGCCAAGGGGATAGCAGCGGATAGTCTCCGCGGAGGATATCAAGCGCTGAAAGATCATTTGCTGTGGGGAAGCAGCAGCAATGGGGTGGAGTCAAACCAGGTGGGCAAAGCAGCCACCGCAACAGTAGAGGCTGTGGATGCAGCAGCAGAAGATGCAGCTGTTGCCGCTGCAGTAGAAACCGCAGTGGTGGTCACGGACCCACGCTAGACCGAATGAGGGATGCAAACGATAACGTTGCATCTCATCGTTTCAATCGATTTACTCTCTTCTTCTTAATGTACCTCCTCGATGATGATATCTCAGCTCCTCATTACTTGGTTATTCCAAAGTTAGTTTATTATTACTAATTCTGCTTCTCCACCCGTTATGCCCTTTCCCTTCCGCATAGGGTTAGAAACTATCTAGATGCGTCAAGCATCCATTTACTTGCAGACTGCTCCATATCCTGCGCAAATTTGCTCACCAGCCAGCCTATACATAGATGAGCTATTAGATGATGGAATCAGCAAGAAAGTACATCGTAATTTCCCATTCATTCCGTTAGTCAGATTGAAAGGTCATGCATGCTAAGCACACCGAGCAGAATGACCCCAAACACGGCCCGCATGCGTATGCATTCCACGCTAACCGGAGAAATGTGCTCAATTGTGAGCAATCCTCAGCCAATGAGCAACTCGCTGTTATAGGGCAGCATCATGTTGCCAGGTGAAGCTGCTGCTACAACACTGGGGAAAGGGTCTGGTGTTCCGTACCATGGATGGTGGTTGTCAAGGCACGCGAAGCAGCTGAATCATGCTGTTGCATCTCCCTGTATCTAGGGTCCCCTGCTCGATCATACAAAACTCAACACTTGAGACACATGGCCCTTACATGGATCATTCTGTTGACCTTGTTCCTGAACCACGTTGTGGATGTAAGAAGTGCATACAGAAAGCGTCATCATATCGAGTTCTGCAGACTGGTGTCTCTGCTCACTAACCTTTCCTCAACATGGGGCTGCCATGGCTGGACCAGCCGGTTATGCTACATTCTTCCCGGGCTGATCACTGCACCTTGACCCCAGAGCAGTGTGCCTATCGTGACGCACATTGGAGATACTGGTACGCCTCAATGCTCCCATATAAGTGACCCTATGTTAATCGTGTCTTCATAAATAGGTATCAATCCGACCACGTCTATGCTTTGAATACCATATACTTTCTATGTGCGACTGTCGGTGTTTTCTCCCTTCTGCATCTGATTTCCAAGTATGGTCCGCAGTCCTTCAAGAGGACTACAATATGGCGACGATCAACGACAGTGGGAAGATATCTTGCCTACCGATGCTTCCAACTACCCGTGCTGCGCTCTAGCACGTCGTCGTTGGGGGTCATTCTCCTGGTGTCGGCTGGAGTAGTATTCTTCTTGGGTTGGTCCTTCAATACTCAAGCACTAGAGCCCTTGACTGACTATACCAAGCCATGACACTGGGACCGCAGCCTTACTACTGGCCCAATACAGAAACGGTCTCCTATGGAGGTAGCCCGCCAATTGCGACGAGAAGTGGATGGATGGCCCTGGCTCTGCTGCCATTTGTCTTGTAAGGCCACTCTCCAACCGACGGCAATATAACCGATAACTGACCTCAAGTAGAGCATTGAGCGCAAAGGCTAATCTTATCTCAACTTTGACCGGCGTGCCTCACGAAAAGCTTCAAGTATGTCTATAATGAGTTTGGCAAGATAAAAACTGACCTTGCCCAGGTGTTTCATCACTGGACAAGTTATGCTATGTTTGTCCTGGCGCTCGTCCACACCTTTCCTTTCATTATATACCACATTGATCAAGGCGATATGGTCGACCAGTGGAAGACGGAGGTTACATACTGGACTGGGGTTGCTGCTATAATCCCGCAGGCATATCTAACTTTCATGTCATTGCCAGCCATCAGGTCCGCCTCCTTAATACTAAACTATCAACTCAAACTGACCCTTACAGGAACCGATTCTACGAGTTCTTCAAAGCCACTCATTTTCTTGCCGCTCTGGTATTCATCGTATTTTTCTTCTTGCACTGTGACTTCCGCTTGTCTTCATGGTAGGCTCCCCTAGACTACCACACCATGTATCCCGCTCACCATACCAGGGACTACTTCATCTCCGCAGGGGCAATCTACATCCTCAGCTTATGGATATCCAACATTCGCACCTACTTCATGCATGGCCGCCACACAGCCACAATCGAACACCTCCCCTGCGGCCTCGTCCGGATCCGCATTCCGACAATCATGGCCTGGCGCCCAGGCCAACACGTTTTCGTCCGATTCTTCAGCCTCCAGCAAGGCATCCACTGTCTCAGCGCCCACCCATTCACCATCTGCTCCCTCTACCAGGACTTCGAGCAAACCGGCAAAGCCCCTGAAATCATCTTCTATGTTAAGCCGCGCCGCGGACTAACAGCCAGTCTGGGCAACACTGCCCTCGAAAAGCCGAACTCATCTGAGACAGTGCTCCTCGAAGGCCCATATGGCGGGATTTCCGAATCCGTCGATTTCGCCCGGTTTGACTCCTACGTCATGATCACCGGAGGCACTGGCGGTGGCTTCTCCCTGGCCATTTTCGAAGCAGCACTGCGGACTCATCATCAACAACAACAACAACCCACTGCAACAATCCAAGTACATTTTGCAACCCGCACCGCGGCTCTCGCAGACTGGTACCGGGAGCAAATCAAAGCCAAGCTTGCAGCCTACAACGTCTCAAGCGACAAGATCTCCCTCTCCATTCACGTCACCACGAAGGACTCCCTCTTGTCCACCCCAGCTTCGGGATCGCCCTTGATCCCAGACTCAGTGGAAAAGAGACAACCAGGGGATTCCGTCGATTCAGTTTCATCACAGGTGGACATTGCGGATACTGTTGTTCAGATGGGGAACCGACCAGACATAGCAGGGATTATCGCAGCCAGCACTACATCCAACACGTCGAGACGCATCGCAATCTTTACCTGTGGCCCGGGGTCCATGATCCGCGACGTGAGAAACGCAGCTGCAGAAGCGCAGTGTCAAGTTCTGAAGAAGGGTAGCAGTGTGGAGGAAGTCTATTTGCATACGGAATCATTCTCGTGAGCCCTTCCTTTCACTCTGCTGTAGCGACTGAAGATCTAAACTAACAAACCTTCAATAGGTGGTAATATATTTTTTCCTTTGGTTTTGGTATAGAATTTGAACATGAATACTTTCATGCTCGCTTCTTTTTATACATTTGCTTGTACCTAGTTTGACTTTTCCATCTTTTGATCTTTCATCTTTGCTTCTTGTGTGATACTACCACCCCCGCCTCCTTCCTCCTCCCTCTTTGCTAGTTATTCGAGCATATACTTACACCTATTGTACCTTAATACCCTCACAATTACCCACTAAAAATATAGTATCCATATGAAACCTTCCACCACTTACTTTACTTACGCTTACAACTTCCACTCCAGAGTTGGCTCCAAACTGATATATTAATAGCAGAAGGGATACTACTAATTACTAGTAGTACCTAATAATACCTCTATCATAAAGCACCGTACATACCCTAGTACGTACTTACCTAGTCGTAGTACTAGAATGATCGCTCTGTTCTTCGAAACGAATGAATCATATACTAGTATATATATCTCATTTATTTGGGCTTCAGTCCAATCCAATCCAATTCATCTCATCCATCTAAACCACTAAGTTCCTCAATTGCCCAAAGTCAGATCAGATCGATCGATATAATACCAAGTGATAGAAGATCTAGATAGCCAAGCTATCAATCATATAACACAGACAATTCAAGTACATCTCATCTCAGCTCATAATCATCCAAAACCAGACATTAGCTAGTACGTCAGATTCTCTAAATCTATAACCCGAACAGAACACACACACGCACGGAGGGAACACCGATGATTCGAAAAGGAAAGAAAAAACATAGGTATCAACGAATAGGCGCCGGACCCGTGACTGACTGTATGAGTGGAGAGTAGAGTGTAGTGTAGTATAGGAAAACAGACAGATATGACAGTCAAGCAGAACAAAACAAAACAGAACAGAGCAGAGCAGAGCAGACATGCCTCTCTGTCTATAAGTATATGTCACGTGCTGCATATATGCACTGTAAGTAGCCCACTCCCCTCATGAAAGATCCAAGGATCATAAACTGGATATTGTAAAGAGGGGGGGGGGATATCATCATCAACGTCGTCGCAAACAAATAGGAAAGTATAAGCGGTTAATTCTTGCCCTCCAAATACTCCATCAATGAAGCTCTCATCCGTACGTTTACCACACCACCCACACCATACGCCGGAACAATCTTGCCCATGCGCGCAAAGCAACTGGGGATATAGTCGCGTCTGATGCGCGAGGTGCGCTCACGCCATCCCAACCCGCCCGGCGGTTGCCGGTTATACAGATCCAATCCGAGCAGGTGCATAGGCGTGCTCACGAACTGCATCAGAGCCGGACAGGAAAATTGCGCGAGAGCGGATTTCATTCCGGGTGTGGAGGCGATGGAGTCTGGAATGGAGGGAGCGACGAGGGCGGGGATATTGAAGGAAGCGAAGATGGTGATGCTGTCACGGAGACAGAAGAGACCGTAGGAGATATTGGGGACTTTGGCGGCGCCGGAGGGGTGGCAGGAGGCTGGGGTGGATGTAGATGTAGCTCTGGAAGCGGGTTGTGGCGCTCCAGATGTCGCTGCAGGAGGAGAGGGTTTTGCACCGAAGATGCGCGCGAATCGAGCGTCCTTGTATACGCAAATACCCATGTTCACGGCGGTGGTGGTGAGGAATTTGGCGGTGCCGGGGAAGACGGTCGAGAAGGGCTTATCGCGCACGGTGGAGGTGAAGGTGTCAATGGTGTTCGCGGTGAGGTAGGTGGATGTGTAGAGAGTGTAGATAAGGAGGAATGGGGTGCTGAGGAAGAAGCTCCCCGGTTGTGTGAACATGGAGCGGAAGCAGGATGTGATGGTCTGGCGGATGGGGACGCCCTTGGCTGCTTTTTCGATGATCGCGCTGGTTCAAAGAATTGATCCCATTAGCTTTTCGTTCCTTATCTCGGTTTCTCTTTTCATGGCACGAGGATCCATCGAGGGTAGTTTGTAGCTAGCATACCGATCAATGACGGTAATGACAGGACATGTCAAGGCACCTGCCGTCGCCGCACTGGCGACATCGACTCCCAGTCGCGCACCTAAACGGTGGGTATTCCAATCCGACGAGATTGACTGCTCCGTGATGGCGGACATGGGGAGAGGCGCTTCGGAGGAGAGCGCGTTCCGAGGCATGGTATGTTTCACCGGTCGGGGTTGCGATCAGAGGAGAAGTGAAAGAGACAAGCAAAAGGAGAAAAAAGACAGAAATAATGAGCAAGTCTAGGGTCGAGATAGGATCGCCCGGGGTGAAGAGAAGGAGGTTACAGCGACAGCTCGATTAACGTCATCCAGACCAGCGCAGGAGAAAACAATTGCCGGGGAGGGCGGATGAGTGAGATTGTCGGGGGTCTGGGGATGGCGAACAATTTCGCAGTCCAAAACGAGGGATTAAGGCACGGGAGCCCGACGGGATTACAGGTCCATTGCAAAAGAAAAAAAGAGCTCGGAGTTTGTTAGTCTCGCGCCCGACATACATAAGTAAGAGCGAGTGAGCGAGAGATCAGATCCATCGCGACAGCGACTCATTATTTAATCGGATTGCAGGCGGACGAGAAGTGTCCGGCCAATGATTGGTCCAGCTTTTGCAACGCCCTCGGGATTACCTCCGATGCCGGCCGATCTTTCCGCCAAACTGCCGACGGATCCCTGGTTTTTGAGGCCATCGCCATTCCCGGATAAACGGTTCCCTGCTATTCCCGGGATAAATGATCCACCGACAAGACAATATTTACAATGTAGATGTTGCAGATGATATAGTTGTTTCATTCCCCAGAAAGTTTTTACTACACTCATTATTTAATGCTCCTGAACGCCCAAATGATCGTCTCTTTAAAAATCGTGACCGTAGCACTCAATCAATGCCTCAATTACAGGAAAGAACTCGCATAATCCATCAGTCGCGCGCGTGCTATGCATACGTAGCTTAGTTGGACGAGTTCGCCTGGAAGTCGTCCAGCGTGACATTGACAGCACCAGCTTGCACCAGCTGCATCCAAGATTAGCTCAAAGTGATCAATCACCCCATTTGAGAGAAAATGGCAAACTTACCGCCCGTCGCAAATCATCAATGAGATCATCCGCATCTTCAATACCCACGCACAGCCGGATCAGATCCTCGGGCAT